CCTTCGTGTGACTTCGTGAACTTAGGTAGTTCATCGTTTGTGAGAAACCCTGCAAACCCAGGCTTCAGATTCTCGCTATTCAGCTCTTCCAGGTCTGAGTCCTTCCCGCCTGTCGCAGACTTTGCTCTCTTCGGCTCTCTGATGCCGACCCGCTGCTACGTCAGATCTGGTGAGCACATCTCCGTGGCAGGCATCGCCCGCCCGGCCTCGGCAACCAATATGGACGAGCAAGCATTGCTGGGCAGCTCGCCGTTTGTAAGTGCCCACACCCGCATGGACCTTGTGTTGCCTATCTCCGGCATTGGTGTATTTGGCTTGAGGTTGCTACCTTTTGATATGGCTCAGCTAGAACTTTCGTTTTCTGTGCACAGCCCCAGTCGCTCAGAGTCTTTGCTGTCCATCTTCGGACAGAGCAGGTTTGCCTCGGCTTTGTCGACCTCGGACTATGTGTGTTCGGGCCCACTGATGCTGCTCCGAAGCTCCTCTTGACTAGACTCAGCTGTATTTCTACCGGACGTGATGTGCGTCGGCAGCTTAATGTTTGTGCAAAGCATGGCCCGGTGCGGCTCAGCTGCGTTTTTCTCCGGCACGCACCGAACTGGTCCGAGCCCCTCTATTTTCGACTCCGGCCATATGGACAGCATGCTGTCTTTGCACAGTGCCGCTTGACCTGAACTGCCCCTGTCGACCTCCTCTTGCGGTCGGCTGGGATTTCAGCTCTTCGTGTCTGACTGCGGTGCTCTGGGATTGCCGCTGCTGGTACGGGCATGCGCAAGATCCGGCCCAGTAACATCTTCCAGATCCTTTGCTTGCACCGGTCCGGCTTCCCTGCTCTTTGGCATTGCCCGGTCCAGCCCTCCTCTGTCAGTGCCGGACCCCTCAGGACCAGGCCTCATGATTCTAACAAGAAGCTTTGGTTGACCAGGCTTCTTTGCTCTGCTCTTTGGTTGTGCCGAATTTGGCTTGCTCTTGCCTGCTTTGGACTGCAGCTCACTAGGTTTCATGCTGCCGACCAGGTCTACGGCTTGACTTGGACCGCTGTCATCCATGTCTGGTGCATCTGAACTGGATCCTTCGCTGTCGATCCCAGACTGCTCCAGCCCAGGGCCGAGCCTTTCTGTTCAAAGCCCGGGCCGGTGTGGGCTGTTGCTGTTCTTGTTTGGTCTTGGTTGGCCTGACCCATCTTTGCCGGCGTTTGACTGTGCGAGCCTAGAGTTGATCTTGCTGCTGCAATCCTGCACCCGAGTGGAGCCCGTCCTGTTTGCCTTTGGTCTGGGCAACTTTGGATCGTTCGCGCTTGCCTTCGACTTTCTCCACCTGGACATACCACCACTTCTGCGCAGCTTCTCGCAAATTGAGCTTGCGGCGCCTGCGTTTGGAATGGGGAAGGTGGACTTTTTGCTTCCTGTCCCGGACATGAGTGGACTCGACCCATTTCTTTTCGTGCGTAGCTCGGCGTACATGGGTTTCTCGGCCTCGTCGTTTGG